AATAATCCAATGGTCAAAAGGCGCATACAAAAGACGTCTGTTTAAGGTATCATTAGACGACTTTTTCATCCGTAATTTAAATTTAAACAGCAGGGTGTTAAAGATTAAATTTTATTACCCCTGTATTACATAATATTACACAATGTGTATTGTACACTTCCTTTGGATTGGCCAGGCGGTAAGTGTCAAACAGATTGACACGCGACCGTGGTTGTTTGTTTCCAGCTAGATATTGTATAAATATCATTCAACCGGGACGTTTTAGAACCATGACATAGTTAATCACGTACAATTATGAAAATCGTAATTTAAGTAACTTTTATATATACCGATCTCATCAATGTTTATTGATTTGTGAAGTGACAATTAGTGTGACTTGCATTAAAAATATTAATATGTGCTACGAAGAACCGAATAAAAAGAGTGTTATTTCACTTTCCTTAAAGATTTTGAAAAAAAAAAAACCTTTTTAAAGTATATTTATGTGACTTAAAATTTATCTGTTTTGCATCACAGTCAAATAAAGGATAAAATCAGGTAAACTGAACACTAAAAATGCATTATCACCGGGCCTGTTCTGACTTTCTTTAGAATGCTAATTAACATCGATTTCATATGTTATAAACTTTCTTTTATCTTATTTTATGATTTATTTCAACAACAATTTAGTTGACTCCCATTTGAATAAAAGATATAATTCCACATTTTCTTTAAAAAATTCTCAATGTCAGGTCCGTGACCGTAAGCGGGCCCACCGTAAGGGGGAATTCTTAAACAATTTCCTTTTCCATGCCTTTTTATGGCAATCTTGGCAACAAAGCTATAAAAGAATCTTTTCTATTTTTGTTTAAAGCTATTTTATATAATTTTCTACCCTATACCTTAAACTAACTCGGCATTGTCTATGAACTTCTTCTATATTTCTATGTTAGCCTTTGCTTTTTTGCCCTACGCTGATTGCGCATGTGCGGGTAAATACTACTTCCGGACGATTTTTCATAGCAACGGACCGCGTCGTAAAAAGGTCTATATTTCAAAAGCAGAAAAGAATACGTGCGTTGATTTAAAAATGAGTTTTAACGGGTTCGATCTAGTTTCTGTTCTTTTTTTAACGAATTTTGCAACGAGAGATAAAACAGAAGAAATCATGTACTTTGTTTTTTCCACAATTTATAAAATAGAAACCGAGAAGGGCTTTTGAATACAAGCTGATAGTTTTTGTCCTTTTGTGAAGGAATTGAGCAATATTGATGATGTCAACATACATTGATTTAAATTAATCGAGAACCACTAAAATGTAGAAAAGTTTAAAAAGGTAAAATTTATTTAAAAAAAATGACTTGTAAAGCCACAGATCATAGTAAGACTAAGGTAATTTAAATTCAAAACTTTCTATTACTTACATTCACTGTAATATGCATGTATAGTCTTAAAATGTATGATTTATTTTATTACATTTATCAACATAGTTTCATAGTTTCAGTTTATTGGCAAATCGGCATATACAATATACCTTTGGCCATTTACAATATACAAAAGGATGGCCAAGATAATACAATTTACATTTAACATAAATACTATAATACAATACAGTTATAATACAAGAACCTGAGAAGCAGCAATAATTGCAAGTTTTTCATTTCTCAATCGCATAGCATAGAAAACAAATTTGGCAATATTCCTAATAGTTCTATTATTATTTGAAGACAATAATCTAGTAAATGTATTAATGCATGGAAAAGAAGAATTAACATTATATTTTCGACGAAGGTTTCTATAGAGTGGACAGCATAACAAATATGCACAACAACATATGCATGATTTATGCATTTCATTACATTATTATGTATTATCATAACATTTTTTCTTGAAATATAAAATAAGATCTTGTGATAAGTTAAAGAAACTAAAAACTAAAAAAAAAATGAAACTCATTGTCAATATAATTATACCAACATTTTTGACAATTTATCAGTTATATTTATGGATCGTATGAAATTTTACATTGTAAATAATGTTTTTTTTCTAATTTTTGTCCTTTTCTTCTATTGCAGATCTCTACCGGAACCATATATTGCTTACTTTGTGTTATTTGCATACATCCTCATGTTGTATTAATTTTGTAATACCTTGAGAGAAAATAAAGTTTTCTGTCTGATTTAATATACGAAATTGAATATATGAGAAATAATTTGATTTATTATATGATCAAAAAATAGCTTTAAAATGTCTTTCTCCGATTGGTTAAGATGTAATGTTTCGTAAAAAATAACCAGTGAATATCAGAGTATATTCACTGTTTTTTTATTTTACTAAAATAGATTTTCTAAGTATATTCACCGCTTTTTTCCAAAAATAGAAGTTCTGGAAATACCCAACATCTATTTATTATTCGGCAATTTCCGGTCTTGGAATTCTATCGCGGAATATATCGATTGTCATTTCGGGAAATACCGATAGTTATTTCGGCAAATTCCGTTGAATGTTTATTCCGGAAGTGTAAGCGTTTCCGGTGCGTTCTTTTGACAGCAATGGAAAAAGAAAACAAGAAACGTAGATTTGCTTCTTATTCTGACTCGGATTTACACAAATTAATTGAGGATAAAGATTCAAAAAACACAAAAAAGTCCACAGAATTAGCAGTTCGTGTATTTAGGGCGTACTTACGTGAAAAGGGACTAAACGAAAGTTTTGAAGACTCGTCTACGGCGGATCTCGACAGTATTTTGTGCAAGTTCTTTGCAGAAATTAGGCAGAAGAATGGTGAAGTTTATAAAAAGACATCATTTATTGCTATTCGTCATGGCATTAGCCGTTTTTTGGATAAATTTGACATTGTTAAAGGACCTGAATTCAAAAAATCACAACAAGTGTTTCAAGCCATGGTCGCTGAACTTAAACGACAAGGAGCTGGTGGAATTGACCACTACCCACCATTAGAACGTCAGGATCTTTTGAAGTTGTATGGCTACTTTGATGTCAGTGACCCAGAAAATTTGCAAGAGAAAGTAAGTAGAGCTCTAGACTGCATACGTTCATTAATGTTATAATTAGCAAGAAATATTTTTTTTATAAAATTAAAAATACGCAAATAGGTATTTTATAACTACATAAATATATATAGATACATATACAGATTTACTTTCTTTTTTATAAAATGTACATTTAGCTGACACCTTGGGATTGCTATGACATGTGCTCTGTAACTGTTTAAAGGTATATTTCCATACATTACAAAAAAACAATCCTTTTACATGAATATTTGTCCCATAAGCTGTAAAATTGTCCCAAAACATGTAAGTCTTATAACATCACTTTATATGTTTACAGGTGTTTGTTGATATTATGTTGCACTTTGGGAGAAGAGGTCGAGAAAACCTTCGTGATCTTTGTGTTAATGATTTTGGTATGACAACATACAGTGATGGCTTACGATACATTTACCTACGTAAAGATGAGCAAACTAAGAATGTATGAGATTAAAGGTAACTATATCCTGTTGAATAATAAAAAATAAAATAAAGAATTTAACACACATTTTGGGAGAAATTAACAATCTATATACAGAGGATATATAAAAATTTATTTAAAAAGTAAAACTCATGGTGTTATAGTACATGATATATATATATATAATGTTAACATATAACTGCATTCCTTTTGTCAAAATAAAATAAAGTAAATATATGTGCTATTTTTTTGTATTTCCAGGCTATGATGAGAAATGTCCAGTCAGAACATTTATACAGTACAAAAGGTTATTGCCACCTGGATGCAACTATCTTTTTCCAAGACCATTAAAGATGCCCACTAAAGATGGCTTTTACTTCAGTTTACAGCCATTAGGTCATAACAAACTTGGTGGGATGATGGCTTATCTGAGCAAAAAAGCAGAACTATCACATTCTTACACAAACCATAGTTTGAGGGCCACTGCAGTACATATTTTAGATGGTGCACATATTCCTACAAGGCACATTATGACTGTCACAGGGCATAAAGCTGAATCTAGTTTAAAAACTTATACAGGATACACTGATCACAATACCAAGAAAGCAATGTCTCACACTCTCAGTAAAAGTGTCGGATTAACTGTGTCTGACTCAATCTGTGAAAATTCTAAAACTGTTACATTAGACAATGATGGTGCTGTAAGTGATTATAAACAGAGTGAGAGAGATCATCTGGATCTTACAACTTCGACCTTGGATCCATTAACAAACTCTCAGTTTGATAAAGTATTACAAGAATTTGATAATGTCGCTGATCCATTTGATGATATTCTTAGGGATATGCCAGTACCAAACACATTTGTGAATCAGCAGCAAAGTTCTGTTATGAATTTCAGCTCGAATTTGAAGTTTAGATTCCTACCATTTCCAGTCATTACTGGTACAAATGCTAATGTCACAATTAACTACAACATCATCAATGGGAAATAATGCATTTAACAGTAATTAACTTTGTAACATTTGAGTGTTTATAATGCATTTAACAGTAATTAACTTTGGAACATTTGAGTTTATAATGCATTTAACAGTAATTAACTCTGTTATAATTGAGTGTTTATAATGCATTAAACAGTAATTTACTTTGTTATATTTGAGTGTTTACATACTGTGTTTTAACCTGTATTATATACTACGCGAGGTAAAATACATGTATACTATAGTAGATTTTTTGTTATCATTTGTCAGTTTTATGTAAGAAATCCTAAAAAGAGTGTTTTACATCTAGTCAATTTAAGCCATATAAAAGCTATTTATAGATTATATAATAAAACAGATATGGACTTTTTAGCTGGTGAATATGATGTGATATGTACTGAAAAAATTAATATTGACCTCGGCTATCGCCTCGGTCAATATTAATTTTTTCAGTACATATCACATCGTATTCACCAGCTAAAATGTCCATATTTGTATAATATATATATATATATATATATATATATATATATATATATATATATATATATATATATATATATATATATATATATATATATATATATATATATATAAAACACATTCTCCTTTGTATAGTTATAAAGTGCTATATTTCTTTAAATGTACCATTACCTTTTTGCAGTCTAATGTTTACATTAATCAAGCTTGTCATCTAACTTATCAAAACGACAACAAGATGTTTATATATCTCATGTATTTTCACTCAAAGAAAATATGAAAAGTAACCCTTACAAAATTCTTATAATTTCTTAAATGAAGATTTTTAAAATTCGGAAACAAATATATAGTCAACGCTGATCTCTGAACGGATCGAACTGGTGAATTCCTTTCTTCTGCTAAAGGATTGATCCGGTTGGAAAAAAAATCTACGAGTTTCATCAATGGCGAACATTTTTACGTGTAGTGTTTTAACAAGTTGAAGATGATAATTTTAGGTCTGTGGTTGATTAGTTTAAAACTTAAACTTAGAATTTCAACATGATCATATAAATTTATTCTTGTCATTGAGGCATAGATAAACATAGGGAGACTGGTAAACATACAATATAGAAGATTTCTCCCCTTAAACGTATAGATAATTTCTGAGAGAACCTCGACCAATATTACGTACCTCATCATCGCCTCTGTCTTCTTCCGGTAAAAGAAGTTCCGTTTATTTCTATTTTCCTTCGAAATTAAAAGAATGGTCAGTACAACAGTTTTTGAATGTCACAGCGACGATTTCAGAAGTTTTCGATTCTGATATTGAAGCCCTTACAGTTAAAGAGTTATCAATGAATAAACCTTATCTTCCCTTCCATACTTCATTTCTCCAGTCTTACGGAAGAGGGAAATATACCTTGTTTATTATATACTTATAAATGAAATATTGAAAAATATCGATAAAACAAAATGCGTATTTCAATTTTCCGTATTTTTACTGAAAAAAAATTATTTTTCACTGCAGTGAAACATATTTTCCGTATTTTCACTTGTGTCTTGCAGGATTACTTTCTTCTAAATTCAGCCAATACAAAAATTTCAAAAAATTAAGGGGAAATCTATCAGAAAAGAAAATGTATATCATAAATAGAAAAATGAAGTTTTTTCTATAAATATAGGATTTATTTTCATCTTTTAGTATGAAAATTATCATATTTCACTCGTGGCTACTGCCACTCATGAAATATTTATTTCCATATCACTCGATGAAAATAAATCCTGTATTTATCGGAAAACTTAAATATCCTCTATAACCTCTGGATGAAAGTGTTATAAACAGGCATGTACACAAGAAGTCTAGATATGATTAAAACAATTGTACCTTTTGAATTCATTATCTAAAATATTCTTAGTTATCATATTTAATGCAATACTTTTTTAAAAACATTTTTAAGGGTTTTCTATTTCCAGAGTCTCGGTTACCTTTAAACCAATTAAAAGACAATAAGGTCGTCTATAAAAATGTTATCATCATATCAATTCAACGGCGCAAACATGATAAATAAACCTTAAGAAAACGAAAATATACCATATACATCCAAAAAAGATTATTCATACATTAGATTTACAGAGAGGAGGGTGTGAAGAATGAACATGTAGTTTAAACCATATCATAACTAATAAGTAACTAAGTAAATTTATATCATGTCTTACAGTAACCTGGGTGATATACCAAAAGTAGGAAGTTGCGATTACTCCAGCCTATAAAAGGAGCTATGACCCCAATTAGGTACGATTTGTCATAACCAAATTGTCCTCGGTAAATGTATCATTAATGCAGTTCAAACCTACACAATTCAGAATATACAGTGTATAGAATTCAAGTTCTGGACCGTATTGTCATTATAAAAATAATGTAGTTTGTTCGCTTTTACACTGTTAGGTCTCCTCTGTGGTTTTGTTTCTTTGTGGCAAGCAAATATATCATTAAAACTGAACAGCAAATTTAAATTGACCTAGTCATCCCACTCATCATCATCATCGTCATCATCGTCGTCATCGCCAACATCTTCTTCATCATCAGCAGCAATATATCTTGCATTATCATCTGTAAAATAATTATATGTTGTCTTTTAAAACATAAAATAAATTTATGAAACAACATATTGTTTTTTCTCTCATCATTCTATGACAATATAAGAAGAAATCAGTATATGAAGTTGCATCACACTTTTGTAATAAGGCCTACAGATATAAAACCTACAAAACAATACTGACCTCTGAACTTTGCTGCAAGCGGATCGGACGGATGAATTCCATTTTTCCAGCAAATAATTGCAATCGGTACAGGAGTAATTTTCTCCTGTGTGACGGGCTGAAAGAAAATGCTAAAATTAAGGACGGATATATCAATGATTAACAATATTAAGAAGCATGTATATTTATTGTATCTGACAAAGATACATTTAACAATCTAAATTTTATATTTCAACAAATCTTTTTACATTGTTTGTCTACTACTTATATTCTAAGACTTAGATATAACGCTTGATTTATCATTTTAAATACCGCCATGTTATTTTAAAATATTCATATTAATTAGCTAATAATTATGACACAAGTACCAAAATTGAAATACTGCTAAATATTTCAATGTTTCTAAAAGCACCTTAAACCTTACAAGATATCACATCCGTTTATTTCCGGCCATCAAAGTGTATATTTGTTTCCTTATTTCAGAAAAAAACGTGGCATATTGACGGCAACTCACAAGTACTTAATGACCATGGTTTGAACTTAAAAATTCCTATCTGATTCACAAGGAAATATTTTATTTTCCAGGAGTCAGAAGTCAAAACCCGATGCACTTGACAGGTACAGAAATTATATAAATTTAAAAATTCAGCTATAGTTGTAAACTTTATATTGTAAAACTGTAAAACTGTAAATTTATAAAATGATCTTACACTAGTACAAATATTGTAATTGTAAGTATATTTCTAAACTTATGAAAAGTCGCTTTGTTTATTCTACAGTTAAAACAATGAATAATTTGTACAAGTACTTACAGCCTGCACATGTTTCAAGGTTGCAGGATCGAACATGTTTATGTTATGCAAAAGTTCAGTTCTTTCCCGGAAACAGCAAGTACTTGACAGTGGAGCTGAATTTTTAGCGTCAGCCCCAGGCTTTTTGAATGAGTCTTTACTTATTGCATTATAAGTGTTCGTAACGTTTCGATTCCCATTTAATGCGTCACTTCCAGTTATAGCAGAAGGAACTGTTCGTGTCCCGTTCGATGAATCAGCTTGTGCATCATTTAAACCTTTTGGATTACCTGAAGTTGGTGAAGGTATCTTACAAATTGACAAATATATACAAGATGCCTTTCACAATTACGGTGTGTAAATTTCAAAAATTCTTGAAAGAAATTACAAAAAGAAAGATCTGTTCAATGATTTCAATGACATGGAAATAAAGTTATTTTCCCCAAAAGGTTTTCACGATCAAAACAAACACACACCGAAGATTGTCAAAGTTGAGCATGTAGTATTGATTGATAGTAATGAAATACAAATAGGTTTGCTTATTATGAAATACATTCATTTCAGACTGTGACTAAAGATTTTTAAGATAATGAAAGAATTGATGACTGTTTAGGATTTAATCTTACAATTATTTATTAAACGGATCAAAGATAGATAGATATACGTGATTATGGTATTTAACGTTCACTATAATAGTAGTATTAAGACATTTGAACATTAAACAATGAACTTAAACAATAAGGGACAATTTTTGTCGTTACTAAATGGTAAACATTATTGAAACTAAACATTATAGAGTGTTTAGTAATCACCTTTTATTTACTGAAAAGGACAGTTTCAACATAGACCTAGCGGTATGTCAAATATATAAAAATAGCGTGTGTTACAAGTTATGTCATATTTCTTTATAAAATTTATAACTGCCCCGATGGTTATTCAGATCGATAACATTATTCCAAAGGTAAAAAGTTATAAAGTTTTAAATAAAACAAACAAACAAACAATTACCTTTCGAACTCCGTTTACAGTGTCTTTTATCTTCATTTCTTTCATCATGTCTGTAAATTTCAGTTTTTACCGATTTGTCGTTTGTAGATTTTCTCATTGACTTTATAAGAATAGATAAACAATTAACACAACATGACATTATAATGAAAACGATTAAAGTAAATCAGTCTGTAAACTTCAAACTTGATTACAGATTACTATTTTTAGATATGACCTAAACCAAAGTATTTGTAGTTTGCAAGGCGATAGTCACGTAGAATTAAACTGTTTACACGCGGATCTTTAAACTTCGGTATTACTGACATTGATAAACGTTGATCAGAGTGAATATTTTAAACTCGTTTTTACCCACATTGTTGTTAAGCAAATTTCAATGAGATCAACAATGATACAGATTACGAAGTTATTTAGATACATGTATAAAGAAAAAATGTAAACGAATATTTCAGCGAAATGAAGGAGACCGTATCACTAAATTATCAAAGTCGCAAAAGCAATTTTGGAAAAGTATAAAATGGCAGTATGAAACGGATTCACAGGAACAAATACACATATCGATTGAATCACTATAAATTTACTTATTTCAATAATCTTTACAGTAACGAAGCGACCACTGACACAAGCTCGCATTTTAATAGTAATCTTGTATATGATGCTGTTTTTTTTTCTCAAAATAATTCAAAAAGTCCGGGGACTGATAACCTTATAGCGGAAGGTTTTTAAACACTCATTTTGACATAATGATTTTAACCAAGAGTATATGCAGTCTTTCAAACTGTTTGTCACGTAAAGTTGTGAACGTGGCATGAGATATCCAGAGATTTATTTGTAATCGATTGTATAGTCATAAAGGCTTGTAATGTTTAAATAGGAATACTATTTTAATGTTTAGCATTGTCATCATTGATTTGTTATTGAAACTCTTCTTTGTCATTATAGCAATGCTTTATACAAAATCTATAGCTTGTGTACTCGTATATTACTGCTTTTAGACAATTTATATTATTAGATTTCCCACATACTTTTCTCTACGTTACTGGTAAATTGAAAATGTATTTGGCGATATTTTGATCACAGGAAACTCTAATTTAGGACATTTATGATTATTTTTTGCAAAACATCTGTCAGAATCTAACTAATGTAGATTTTCATAGATTGGCGCGAAAGTGTCAAATTGAATGTACGTCCCATGATAACTATCGGATGACAATATTTTCATAGAACTGGCAAACCATTTAGTTTACACACTTTATGTCAGAAGATATCCTAATTCAATTGTCTAGGGAGCTATTTTAGCTTATAGACTCTCTCTCTCGATTCTGTTCTTTGGTCAAACCAGTGCTTAGCAATAAATGTAGTTTCTTGTTCAAGAAAACAATCGCTTGCCCTGACAGGCACATAACCCATATGGATAGGAATACAATCAAAGTGCTGAATGCACTGAATGCGACGGACATGCAAGGTTTTTTCAGAAAAAAACACAAAAGATATAACAGAGACAATTTGTTCCTTACAAGGTCGAGATTTGTCTGAAATCATTCAGATTTTCTACTTTCAAGCAGAACACGCCCAAATTTTTAAAATTCAGAATGAAATTTATGGTTTAAAACTCTGGTCAAACTTGTAAATCAGTGTCCTTATCGATTTATTTGTAATAGAAAAACTGTCAACGGAATATTTCTAAAATAAAACCATGCAAATAAACTTCAAAGATAATGCATAATACATGCGAGGATGTTAATTAGAGTTGCTTCGTGTTATATCATAGTTTGCATATAGACATAAAATAAAAGTCATTAGTATTTCAATTTTTATTGCTCTTGGATATGTCTCATTTAAAATAGTTTGGGTTAAAACCATCAGCAATAAATCTAGTATTTTTTAGATTTTTTTTTTCATTTACAAGGTAAAGATGTAGAGGCCAGAGCACATCGTTTTAATTTTAATTTAAATGTCACTTAAGCCCTTCAGTGTTTAGTTGCTCCTTTCAATTTCACTAAATTCCATTTTCAACTTGTTTGCTTCTTACAATTGTATAACACTTCTTAAAGTATTGTCTGTAAACAAAATAAGTATCCGCTGATTTATTACATGTATAATGTGTACTACCTTATCGCTTGTCCGAAAGTCAGCGCAGGTGATGTAGTGGTGATTGGGTAAAATCTATTTTTATAATAGTGTCTATCACAAATCATATAAGCTGATAGCTAGTTAAGTCATATTAAGACCTAGAAAAATATGTAATTAATGCGCGAGATATTCTAGAATTGTTGAGTCATGAATAACTTTTGATTTGTTAATAAATATGTTTTGTTTAGTGGAGAAATATTCATTTCCTACTTATGATTTCTAGGAATTATTGAGCTTACTCCTTAATTATAGCATAATTTGCTGTCCTACCTTTTTCAACAGCGATCAAAGATCAAATTCATGTACTATTTCTTGGGCTGTTATTCCGTTGAGGACACTGCTCGATTGTAGCCGACGAAATCCCATGTGAAGATGACATAGCTCTGAACGTGCTTGAGGGCGCGTCCATCGCAAAAATCACAATTTCGACCCGTAAACCTCTCGCCAAAGTCGCCATCCGAAAGCAAACTGTACCTTAAAATGTTACTTTCTTTATTTTTCAAAAGCGTATTATTGTAAGTCCTATACAGCTGAACCACCTTTGCCTTCTGTTGTTTTCTGGCAATTAGTACGGCTATAGTGATTGAGCATTTTGTATGGGAGTCAAAAACATTCAAAACATTCCTAAGTCCTTTATTGCAACATTTTAAAACATTAATTTGCCCTTTGTACAAAATGAAAATTATATTCATGTCTAAGTCATTTTTGTCTTAAATTGTTACATTCATCTTCAACCACAGAAAATTCGTTTTACAGTTATACATCGTAAAAAAGTAGATTCCTTGTTATATATTTTCAGATATAAAATATTCAAACCTAAAAGTGACAATTGTATAAAGCACGCGCGCGCACTTACACGAACACGCATATACAAGCAGATATTGACCCATTTTCAAAGGTTCTTCAAAGTAATGAATCAAATATTTACAAATCGGTCTTTTAACAACTACAAATTAATTTATCTTCTATCAAAATCCGCATAGGTTTAGTTCACTCTAGAAATATTTTGTATCAAACATATACACTGTCGTCTATTTTTCTTTGTATTCATTGTTCTCGAAAGGTAAATTCTTTTTCAGTGTCTTGTGTCAGACTGTTTGTTTATATCATTTTAGCTGCTTAACGTACCCATACCACAACACAACGGAAGGATGAAAAAAATACAGTGTTTCCTCAGATGATGGGTATAACTAGAATTATATAATTATGAAAGTCATATGATCAGGCATGTACAAAAGATGTCTAGATATGATTGAACAGAAAGTTTTTCTAGATTTTCCCTATAAAATACATAGTTTGTAAAAAAATACTGGAATCGCAGATTTTGGATAATCATTCAAGTATTAAAGCGTTTATATAGTGTATACAACAAACACAGCAATCTTAAGATAAATTACAAATTAATATTTTTGAAACAAAACTTTCCTAATGATTGCTCTCATCTAAAATTCGAAACAAAATTTAAAAGATAGCATGTAATGGAGTAGTAAAGATATACTATGCTCAAATTTAATAAAAGAAATATTAATACACCTGCAATTGATACACAGTATCTTTGTAAATATGACACAGACAAGAAGCTTCAGACGAAGTAGATATGTAATAATGTTTAAAATTCTACACACCATATGTGCCCACAATATGAAAATAAAGTGTCTAACGACATTACTTGTCCCGTGACAGGAAACGTAGCTGCCCATATTCTGTTATTCAAATTACTAGTAGACATAATCAGTAAGAGTGTTTAGCATTTCAATAAATTTCTATGATATAAATATTTCACACCAGGATGAGCAAAGTATATCATTAAGATATGAGCATTTAGAAAAAATGCTTGTTTTTTTTTAATCATATAACATTGCGTAGTAATATCTGTCATAAATCTTCACTAATGCATCATAATTTGAAAGCCAAGCAAACTCGTGAAAACAACCAGCACACAAAAGTATTCCATTCTTGACGATCCATTCACGGGAATACACTCACAGTCACTGCATGACGTAGAAGCACGTTTGGATCTTTTTCCAAGGTTTCTTGTAAGTCCTGACGCAAACGGAATATCCCTTGTAGAGCATGTCCATGAATTCACTTGAAATCCGCTGTCTTTCCAGTTATTGAAACATACTTTGATCAAGTTTTGTTCGTATGGATGAACGGTCCTGTCCTCGTTGAGATAGTATCGTCTTTAGGCGTACGTCATTGCCACACTGTTAAACGTTATAGAGTTATAGACAAGACCTCGTCCGTTTGACCCTTGATAGCAGTATCCAGATGCTACAATCCTTTGCTCTTCTTCTGGACATTTCCCATAAAAATGATAGTAGGCTCCAGCATGCATAGTTTTTCTGGTACAGTGATGTACATTCTCCACGGCAATATCGGAATCGATAAAGTGAAAAATTCCTGTGTTTGGTGCCACTGATACCCCGTTCCTCAAATACAGGGTGAATGCCATGTAGTTCACACCACTCTTTACAGCAACATTCGCGGGATGGGGCTGCAAATACATCACTTCATAAGATGAACCTTGACTTGGAACTAAATATCCATTATTATTCCATCGTAGGTACCTTTTTTCTATGTCCAAAGGCTTTTCATGTAGCTTTTCAATACCATGATCCGTGCCGCCTTGAACCTGGAATGTCTTCGAACAAAACGTGATGATTAGAATATACAAATAGCCGGTACAGAACTTCATTTTACAGTTAAACCGTTCAATCTATATTTGAATAATAGCTTTAAGAGAACATGAACGTAGCGTATCGCGTATGCCTACCCGAACAACGATTAACGTGTATGCACTTGTAACATCGGAACCGTAACAAGAATACGCGAGGTAAACAAATAGTTAAGAGGACATGTATGGAAATAGTCTTTTAAATAAAGTGCCATGCATTTTGGTGTTGCAATTTTCATGT